TCACAGACCGCATTTGTTTTGCCCTGTACACTACCCTGTAAATTTAAAAAGAACATTTTTAAACAAAAAATCAACTCATAATTAAATCGTTTTCTTTTCTTTTACTAATAAAGTATTTGTTTCGTGACTCGCGTTATATCTTTAGTGCATTTTGCGATTCCTGTCAGACATACATTTTGAGTAATTCATGTAAAACAATAGTGTAAAAAATGAGAGTAATAGGACAACAAAAACTACAGCGAGGAGGCACCAAACGCCCCTCCCCCAGCCTGTTTACTGCTTATAGGGTTAAACTGCGTCACTGATCCGCCAATAACCGGTTCCAATTGAGCGCCGACTCAAATCTCGAAACACTGAATACAATTTTAAGTGGAACCAACCATCTCATATCTGAGCCACGACTCGAATTCTTTAAATTCGGCCTCTGGAAGGAGAAAGAAAAGTTGACGAAAATTCCCTTTTTTTGGTACTCCTTAGGTATATTTAAAAAGCTTTTCTTCTTTTACGATTTCTAATCCACAGGTTTTCTTTATTTGAGTTCTTGTGTATAATGTAAAATTTAAGTTGTATAATGTAAAATTGTATTATTTTTTGCTTATAACACCCCCCCCCCCACTCCTGAGTGTCTACAAAAAAATTTAGCCCATTCGGTCCAGCAATATATATATATATACGAATGTCTTGTTTTATTATATGTTTAATGTAAAATGTATAATATAAAATTGTATTATGTATAATGTATAATGTAAAATGCATAATTTATAATGTATAAAGTATAATGTATAATGTATAATTGTATTATGTATACTGTATAATGTAAAATTGTATTATGTATAATGTATAATGTATAAAGTATAATGTATAAAGTATAATGTATATGTAAAATGTATAATGTATAATGTATAAAGTATAATGTATAATGTAAAATTGTATTATGTATAATGTATAAAGTATAATGTAAAATTGCATTGTATGATGTATAATGTAAAATGTATAATGTTTAATGTGGTCACATGTCCTGTTTTCTTATCTAAAATCTGGGTTGAAATTTCCCTTAAAAGTTAAACATGCCTCCTTTAGGTGCTTTCATTTCTATCCTATACATTAAATAAATAATATTTTAGGCGTATTTTTAAATCACACTGTTCAAGCCTATAGGAAAACGACAAGGTATAGGTTGAGGATGTGCTTCGGATATGCAGTACCTTAATCAAGCCATATGTACCACCGAAGGAAATTGTTTTGTTTTTTTTCGTAAATTTTTGAAATTGATTTTGTTTGAAGCGTTAAAACACTGCATTAGTGGAAATTCTATCATTTCGTTCGTAATATCGAAGTTACCGTAAAATATGAGTTTTTGGTTCGGTGTTTTTGTATTGCTTATCAAAACTATTCGAACAAGAAAAATCGTAGTTTCGATAGTTCTAAACAAAATATTAGGTTTAATTCTAACAGTTAATCTTGCATTATTTCTGTAGAAACTGTGATTCTAAGAAACTCCAAGCCTTCAAGCCGGCCCGAAAAATTGAACTTTCAAAATTTGTTTTCTTGAATTGTTTTTTCTATTTGAAAAAAAAAGTTTAGATAGTTTTTTAGCCTTTATCATCCCGGGCCCAGGTTTCCCGAGGGTTCTTTCAAAATATTTCAAGAGTTGTATTGAAGTGCCTGGCAAAGTGGTAGGTCCAATTCACAACGGTACCTTTCAAATTTTATCAGATCACTTGCTGGAAAACTTTTTATTTTGATGGAGGACATCATTTTAATCTTTCAAGTTAGAAAATGTCTATCTCATTTTTATTTCTTAAAGGGAGTAACCGGCAATTGATTGAACTGAGATTGCAGTATTGTAGAGGAACTTAATAGGATTCATTTGAGACATATAAAACGTTTTTAAGATCTATAATTATTGAGTTTGAGCGCAAAGACGACGTTCAAAATCATCAATTTGGGTGGGTACGTTTTAAGAATCGTTTTTTTTAAATTAATAAATAACGACGAAAAAAATATTGTAAGAATTCTATAGTAAACTAATTAGATTTTTAGGAACATATTTCTCAAAAGAAAGGAATTGAGTTTTTGTCACAAACTTATATGTTTAAATTCCCATATCTTTGGAACCTGATGGAGTAAACCTTTGATATTTCAAACTAAGATTATTTGATCTAACAGTATACTTAGTTTGAAATAAAAAAGGTTTAAGACATTGGGTTGCAAAGATATAGGGATTGGAAAATCAGAGTTTGTGGCAAAGACTCAATTCCTTTCGCAATAAATTAATGTTAGAATCAATTGTTTCGTTTTCATCATTATTTTGAATTTCTTATTCTCTATGAATTTGTTCGCAGATTTCTACACATTCTTCAAATGTCGTCTTTTCAATAAAAATTCCAGAAAATCTGCAAAAAGTCTTTGCGAATAATAATAATATAAATAAGATTATTTTTCGATGATAAGAGTTAATTTTTATTTTCCCAACCTGTTCCTAAACAACTAAAAAGTTTATTGTAGAATTTCTGTTACATTTTTGACGTCGTTATTTGATAATTAAAAAAAAAACGATTCTCAAAACGTGTGCTTTTGCGCTCAAACTCAGTACTTTTAGATCTTTAAAACGTTTTGATGTCTCAAATGAATCCTAAAAAAATGCTCGACAATACTGCAATCTCAGTTCAACAACCATAATTGCCGGTCATTCCCTTTCGGTGGAGGGGTCACTAGACAGTAATTCTAGAATCCCTTTAATGTTACTGCCGAGTAAGTCTAATATCACTAAAATCACTGACCGTCAGGTTGTTCTGTTTCTAGCTGGACTAAACACAATGAACTGACCGACAAGCCAGCAGCTATGCAGGAAACAAAAATCTAAAAAATATTGTTAAAAGACCATTAATAAAAGTTAAAGTCGAAAAACAGGCTATAAGTGAATATATTTTTTTATTTTTCTTTAAAGTTATATTTACAATTAGTGTCCGAATATTACAAAAAATATTGGACTCCATTAGTTATATGTCTTGATAAAGTAGATGCCGATGGACCGAGCGCTAAACTCCCACTAAAAAAATCAAATATTTTAGTTATTATAAAGCCCAAAAAAATCAAATATATGTATATCTATATATTTGTATTTTTTTGCGGATTTTTGCTACAAAAGTTTTAAACATGTCTCGAAAATGTCATTCGATCAGAGGACCTTGAACCATTTACAACTTGAAATATGTTGCAAATAACAACTTTAAAAATATTTCAAAAAAATAACCTGTCTAAAGCTTTGTACAAGTTTTGTATGTAACCTTCATTCTCCATTAATTCAACTGAAAAATATAAATATTATAAAAAAAACATCATATACATGTGATGGGACATTTCATAGATAACAAAATCATCCAGAGGCTAAATTTAAAGAATTTGAGCGGCGGCCTAAATTTAAGCCTCGACTCAAATATGGTTGGTTTCACTTAAAATTGTTTTCAATGTTTCAAGATTTAAACCGGCGATCAATTGAAACCGCGGTATTCGGCGGATTTAAAACGCGGCTCAAATTCATTAAATTCGGACACAGGGTGTTTTCTTAATTCTGTAATTTATGATTCTGGTACAGCAAAGGTTAAACCATTAAACAATCAATGTTGTCTACAGATGTGGATGTTTGATATATAGCAAAAAATTATTAGCATTTTTCATTAAATGATTAAAATGTCCTCCGTTCCCTTTGGCACACCAACAGGTTATGGAGTGGTTACGTTATCTGCTACTTTAACATGGGCGATAGAGGGGGGGGGGGCAAGGTTTTTATAGCTGCGCCCTCATTTTTCGATTAATCTGACTGTAAATTTTGGGGAATCCTCTGTATAACCATGCTTAGATATAGTATTAAAATTATATTAAAGATTGGATGATTATTTCTAACCGCCCCTCCAGAAAACAAGATTTTTAGTAAAAATATGATGTGACAGAAAAAATGAAATTGCAGATTTACATATTTTTTATTTACCCAATTTTCTTTAGGGATTATGAAACCTTTAGTAGTAAGCTACTCAGAACTTTTTTAAAATCAATAAGATGTTTAAAAATGACTGAGATATAAGCTTTTCAAAAATCAAAAAATTTTAAAAAAGACCTTGTAGATAGGACATTTCATAGATAGGACATTTCTTAGAACTCTGAAGATTGGTGTTCTCGGGGTCAAAGGTTAGGAGGGGGTAAACGTTTTGATTCGTTTGTTAACCATTTTAAATAAAACTTCCATCATTTAAAATCTTTATTAAACTTTGCAATAGTATTATTTGAAGATATGGTTCGTTTATTGTAAATATTTTCTTTCAGTGTCAAAAAATTAAATGTAAATGAACAGTTTTGAAATTTGTAAACTTTTCAGATTTTTGCGAATCCTTTAAAGGCTGGTAATAGGGTATAAGAATAGGGTTGAGAATAGGTTTATGGTTGAAATGCGTGTTCATAGCCCAATTTTTCTAGGCAAGCTCATTAAAAAAAATTCGACCGAACTTTAACAGTTTTGGTGCTAGGGAAGTTTGAAAAAAATACCAAAAAGGGTAAAAAATAATGTAATTTTTTTTGTTCAGACAAATATGTTATGTAACACATAATTCTACATACATTTTCCAAGGGCTTTTCAAAAATATAGATTTAAGATCTTTAGCGTTAGTCACAAAAAAGTTATTGGTTATTTCGTAATTTTTTTTTTACACGGACCGGACTTTTTACCGCCTATTACCCTATTACCTTATTACCCTACCCTATGCATTACAAAATTTCCATTCCATTAAAATAATTTCACGATGAAAGTGTCAAAAATGAGATGTGATAGGCAAAAAAACCATAGGGGAGCCTGTTAAGGGTTATAAGTCCACCCCCCCCCCCCTCCAAAAAAACTTATCGAACATCACCCTTGTTGACAGACCGGGTAAAATTTATTCTTGAGAAACGATTTAACCTTTTTTTTATGTCTTTGGCCAGTTTCTTTAAATAATGTTTGTCTGTTCCAACCTGATGAAGTGATGTTGGTGAATGCTATAAGATGAGCTAACCCGACCAACCTCGCCTGTAACAAAAACAACTTTACTATTTACTAATCACACCGGACTAATCAGATTGTAAGCAGCATTCGGTTTCTTCTATTTGAAATCAAACGTGTGTTTGTCTTTAATTCAATAATCATTTACTTTACGGATTTGTTTATTTCATACATTTTCATTCAAAATGCATATGCAGACAAAAAAGTATTCAAGAAAAAAGGCTTTACAATAATGTCTAATGGGTCAAATTGTGATCGAAAGTCCCAGCTTTCTGGAATATTGACAGAACCGTTGAATCCACGTGTAACTGTATGCTGATTGCTGAAACGCATTTGGATACATTCTATTGTTTAAAGAAACTGCTGCTGCACAAACTCAAATATTTTAAACTATATATCTTTGCAATCTGATGGCGTAAACCTTTCATATTTCTAACTTAGACGATCTTACAGAATTCATAGTATGAAATATCATAGAGCTACAACACAAAAAATATAAATAAATAGTAAATAAGTAGTAACCTTCATTTTTATGGTTTCTGTTATTTTAAGTCTGTCGTCTTCATATTCTCTTTTAGTTCTAGATCCTTTTTTTTCATGTTGTATTTTATCTTTGTCTTTATCCGCTAAATCTGTTCCACTATTCTCTTCAGTTAGGCTAGTTCCGCTGGTTTCACTAGTTTCGCTGTATCCGCTAGTTCCGCTTATATTGTGTTGATCTCCGTTAGTTCCGCTAACCTTGTTTTTGTACAGTGCTTCCATTAACTCAAGTATTTGAGTATGTTCAACTGCTCTGAATATATAGTGAGTTTTTTATCTAGAAAATAACATGAAAATTATTAATGTAAAATGTATATATGATTTCTTTATCTAAAAACAATTATTGTATTATGTCAAAAAGCTTTGCCACAAACTAAAATAATTAAATCTTTGCAACCTGATGGTGTAAAATTTTGATATTTTAAACTTAGGTTATTTAATATAATAGAGTTAATAGTTTAAAATAGCTAAGGTCTGCATTAGGTTGCATAGAATATAGTGATATGAAAATCAGTGTTTGTGGCAAAGTTGATTTAATAATACATAATATATCTCATTAGTTTATTTTCTATTTAAAATTGAATTACAAATTTTTTAAAACCTTTCAAAACTTACGTTTTGTGTGTTTTGTTTTTTCGCTCTGCTCCATCTGAAATGGAATCTAGGTTTGTAAAAACTGTGTATTACTAATTTTGTTATAAACCCTAAATCAACTTTTTTACTTAAAGAAAAACAAAAAATAAAACAGCTCTTCTTCTCAAGTCACGCTTTTGCATTTCGAAATAAAGATTGAGGATTTTAGTAATTCTTCTTCATTTTCTAATTTTTGCAGGAATTAAAAAACGTACAGTTTTATATTAAAGAAACGAATTATTAAAATAAAAGCTCTTATTGCCGAATTTTTTTTGCTATTAATATAAAGATGTGTCATCTATTCTGTTGCAACTTGATATCGTAAACTTTAATATTTTAAACTGTGATTTCTAAAAGATTAAATTGAAGATTATAGACAATTTAGTTTCCTGATATAGAAAATTGCTCAATGATTTGCTCAAAAAAAATTGTCATGCTTTTCGATTAACTTACTTTTCAGCATAGTTTCCAGAAGCCCTAATCCCTACAAAAATAATTGCCTAAATACATCTCGTTTTAATATTTCAAACATTTTAATCGAAATTTTGAAAAGATATTTAAAAAAAACAAAAAAACATTTTGTTTCAAATTTCGAAAATCTTGAAGCTTATAAAATAACAAGCGATATAACTAAAAAGTAAATAAATCTATATATAAATTTTAGCTTGGGTGTCTCGCCGTGTTTGTTTGTTTGTATGTATCCAATAAACGTCAAAACGGCTGAACCAATCAGGCCCAAATTTTGTGTGGGCCCTCACGTGGCCTCACGGAAGGTTTATGAATGATCAAAATTTCAAATATTTTCTCCATCAAAATTCGATTTTCATTAAATTTTCGAAAATTTTGAAAATCCACGAAATTTTTATCAAAATCTGCGCAAACTTTTTTGTTTTGTTTTACAGAAAGAGAACATGTTCCCAATTAAAATAAAAGATGGGCGTGAAGCGCTCTAAAAAGCTAGTAATTTCAAAATTGTATAGTTTTTACAATCTAAATTCAATCATAGGATACTAGCTAAAGTACCCGGTTTCGCCCGTGCAATCTAAAAAAGAATTTAAAAAAATTTGAAATTTATTTTTTATTTTTTTAGTAACCTCCAAGGAACCTATGGCCTATGGGTTCCGCGAAACAAATTCAGCCAATTTGGTCCAGCCGTTCGGCCAGCTATAGCTAAAATATCTCTATATGAACGAATAGCTTAATTATATCAAGATATTTACCTGAGTTTCAATTCGTTTTCTGTAAAGAATATCCCCTTCGGTTGCATTTGGATAAACAGTAATGTCGTCTTTTGTTTCTAGTTTTAATAAAAGGACTAAGAACTAAATAATATACAAATTAGTTATATCTGTTTATCTTGATGTCAGATCATAACTTATGAACCACTTTGACGTTCCGATTTGTCTCAAAATTTGATTGGGGAACTGGGTAGAACCACAGGAATGTTGGATTAAAATTGAATAAGTCGACGTTTATGGGAGATCTATAGTTTCTAGTTAACGCTGGATTTTCCGGCTACAAAGTTTTAAAAAGCTAAAGAATCCAGCTATTCAGGACATCTTTGAGCAGTTTCAGACTTGCCCAGTTTCGTTTTTAAAATAGGTGAACGGAACGGAACGTTAAATATAATATTAAATGTCACCTTTTGGGATAAATGCGTCTAAAACCCTATCTCGAGCCTGTCGCATTCGGTCCAAGAATCCAACATCTCGACCTGGAAACACATTTTTTTTAGATAACATCATATCATATCATAACTTAGAACCTTTATAGGTTCACGGAAATTTATATTTATATCGCTGTGATCTTGCCAGGCTGCATACAACTCTACACTGGGTAGCCTTGGTCTGGACAGAACGACTGAATGCACATACAGTATGCATGCAGTATACATTCATGCAACTTATTGAGTGGTGTGATAGATGAAACCCTATCCTATCATTATGTTGACCTTTTAGGTCCCTTTTAAGTACTGGTAAATATTTTTTATGACACCCGGCCTTTTCTATCATTATTGTGGACATTTAGGTCCCTTTCATGGCCTGGAAACACATTTTCTAGATGAAATCCTATCAATATCATCATTTTGGATCTTAATATATGTTTCTCATTGCCTGCAGAAACAAAGTTTAAGATTGATCCCGACCTATCAAATCTCTATTTAGGACTATTACATTTACACCACGGTAAATTAGGGGTCCTATTTACAAGTACGCGAGGCATAACTTTCGGACCCATGTTTGCCCGTTAAATGAATTTGTTTATTTTTCTTTATTACTTTTTGCTGATGTTTATATTCTAAATATTAAAATATTAAAAGTTATAACGCAATTTTAGACTGAGTTTGAATCGACAATTATACAGTTTGGGAAATCTAACACTTTTTCACCCTTAAAACCGAGACACACCGGACTAACCAGAGTGAGCAGCATTCGGTTTCTTCTATTTGAAATCAAACGTGTTTTGGTCTTTAATTCAATAATCATTTACTTTACGGATTTGTTTTTTTTATACATTTTTATTCAAAATGCATATGCAGACAAAAAAGTATTTAAGAAAAAAGGCTAACAAATTATGTTTAATGGGTCAAATTGTGATCGAAAGTCGCAGCTTTCTAGAATATTGACAGAACCGTTAAAACAACTATATTGTTAATTGGACATTGCCATCTTTGCAGAGCAACTTTAGGTAATGCTTTCATTTATTAATGGTGAAAAAAATCCTTTAAATAAAATTTTTCTTAGCAATTTCACCTGTCATTGCCATACTCATGGAGTCCTGTGTATTCCCACTGTTTGCTATATTAGTGTTAACCTGAAGATTTATTTATTAAAATATCCTAATTCTCAATTAGAATTTGTTCAAATACTACTTTAAAACTGAGGCTAGATATAAAAGCTTTGCAATTAGAGTTGTTGGATGAGTTCAAACCTAGATTAAAGAACTGCAGAGACTCTTGAAAGCTGGTCCAATCTTAATCATTCACAGTTTTTAGCTGGTAGATCTTTGGAAAATATAAACATACAGTGAGACCTATAGAACTGTGAAATAGAAAGACGATTTTAGGATAAAAGCAGAACATGTAACGCGGCAATTGTACAGTGCACGTTGCCACGTATACACGATTCACTTAAGCTTCTATTATATAAGAATATTTAATTTATTACAACATTAACTACACATAAATTTGCTTAAATGTCGTCTTCCCATTCCATAGTTTTCTGCATATATTTTTTTATTGCGTATTAGCTTAAGAATAGTCGGATAGGGTTTTCAGGTTCTCCCGGTTTTGACAAAACTGCATAATAACATATTTGTTTCTGTTCAACAAGCTGAGCTTTAGACAAAATTTTATCCATAGATAGATAGATTGTTAACCTGGTTGTTATTATTCTGATTGTTGTTGTTGTTTCTGTTGTTGTTGTTATTGTTAATGTTGTTGGCAACATTTACAACAGCATTCACGGAGGCTAACACAAAACCTGTAAGAGGAACTGTGATTTTCTGACGCCTATATGTTTGCAACTTTGCTATTTTTAACAATGAATTCTTTTAATTCAAATAATCTAAGGTTTAAATCATCAGGTTACAAAGATATTGGGATTTGAAAATTTTGTTGTTCGGCAAAACTCAGTTCTTTTTAAGGTATTACTTTAGGAATGATGATGAAAAAATCAGTTCCAAATATCAAACGATATCACTAGCGTTAGTTTTAGTTGTGGACATTTTTAATTGAATTTATTAAAAAGTGTCATTATTTCCCCACAAATGTGTCACTATCAGTTCCCTGAAAAGTATGTTATTTTAGAAGTTTAATTACAATTTAAAATTCGTTATATAAAGAGCGACAATCAGTCCACCTGTTTTTGTATTATTGTATATATATTACAATGTGATTTGGAAAGTAGTATAATTGTCGTCTTTTTTTTTGGATTGTCTTCTCTGGATTTGCAACTTGCAAATTCAATTGAATCTTGGAATCAATTAAGCACTGAACTTCAGAAGCCGACCCACTTTAATTGAGAGACTACGAATGTTTCCTCAAATTTAAAAGTGCTATAATTGATATCAAGATTAAAACTTCAAGGTTAAAATGTTAATCCACACAAAAGGTCCGATCTCTCAACATTTTTAGAACAGATCCTCAACAACCTTGTTAAGAAAAAAAGACGACATTTATTTCATAGTTTTTGTGAATTTCTCTTAAATTTCATTTTCTTCGTCACCAATATTTTTAATAAAGCTTTAAAAAAAAGATTACCTAAAAATCCAAAAGACGACATTCTGTTCTGAGGAATACACTCTTTATCAGAAGCTTCAGGTATAAACACTATCGGCATATCAGACTCATATCCAGGAGCTTCTCTTCGAACTAGATCTGACAAATATTGGAAGAATCAAGACGACATGAAAACTTAAAGGGACTGTAAACCATCTATGTAAACATTGCATGCCCGATTCAGTGCGGTACCCTAAAAAGCGGCGTCTGACAGAGTATGAATTATTTCAATTGCGAGTTCAGACAAAAGTGCAAAGAGAATAGAATATATATTAGAGGAGAATTTACTAGAAAAAAGTGTAAAACGGCCATTTTGTTGTACTGTTTCCATACTGCAGGTGTACTTCACATATTTATGCTATAATTTGCAAATTGTTTGCATAAAACCCGTCAAAAGAAATTTGCAAACTTTTACATATTTGAAATGTTCAAGGGCTTTTTAAAAAAAAATGTATATTTTATCATTTGTTGGACATTTTTTTGTAAATATTTTACTAAATAACTGGATTTCGCAAAAAAAAAAATCTATTTTTGCGGTTAAGTTTGTCATCAAGGTCCTACAGGAGTAGCCGTGGGAATAATAAAACATTTAAATTACGATTACAGTCTCTTTAAAAAAAATATTACCTCTTTTTTTGAAGTCATTGAACTCCTTATGGATAATATAATTTGTTTCAGGATTCATATAAATATCACTAAACAGATTTTTTAGATGGAAAGCATAAAAGAAAAANAGTACGTTTAAATATTCTTTTCTAAACTTCTAATTAACTATTAGAGTTAGATTAGCGTGAAAGACAGTGGTTATAATTAACAGTACGTTTTTAACAATTATTTTATTAGGGCCGTAAACATATTTTCAAGTGACCTTCCAGTTAAAGAGGATTCATATGAATACCATTTCATCCTTAAAAATCAATTTAATTTCAAATACAAGCACTTAAAAAGCCAAAATAGTTGACTGCCAGATGTCTCAGCTCTTCATGCTTTGAATGATTACATGTGGCAGAGACACCTAGCGGAAAAAAGTCTTTTTAAGTGCATTGTATAAAAAATACATTAAAAATATTACGAATATTATACGAATTCATCGAAAAATAATCGATGATTATAGGTTGTAATATCTGATTGAGGTGCTTTAAATTTAAATTGATTATTTTACGATACGAGTCATATATTGCAACTTACTGAATTTGTATGGACACTAGCTATGTTTTTCAGTATAAGTCGTTTTTACCAATTTTCTCCTTATAGACGCAACAAGTAAGATTGGTAGCGATCAAAAGCGATTATTTTTCGCCGGAAACCTATGCCCCCTTTCATTTTTTGCGAACACTCCCTTTAATATTTACTTTCTAGAAATTGTAGAATATAAATCTTTAAATTCGATAGTTTGAAAACTCTGTTGTACTGTGTACATAGAATATTCTAGATTTTCAGAAATACATGTGACGTCATATCCGCGTTAAGTTCACTTAAAAACTTACGCTTACTCTTCTGTGTGTAAGTTAACCGAATTAATTTTCCATTACAATTGTAAAAACCTTTACCAATCCTACTTGAATCTAATGAATCATGGAGTTGGTCGGCGGTCGTAAGGGAATTAAGTTTTTGCCATAAACTTAAATTTAGAATAATTGATGAAACAGAATTTAAAGGTTGAAATGTCTTAGTTTTATAAACTGCAGTTTGCAAAGAATTTTAGAGATTAAGAATTTGTGGAAAAGACTCAATTCCCTTATAAGTTTAGGTCCGGTTAGTTATAAAATGTTTTGAAATATTTTTTCCTTTCTCTTCTTACTAATAATTCAACGATTTTTGGTTTAATGGTCAACTTTAACATACAGGGTTCCCCACAAAGGTTGAGACTTCAGAGACGACTTTACTGAATTTCTACTGTCTTTTTCCTTATGTTAATGATTCATGCAACTGTAAAATTATTTTATTTATTTTCAAAATCATTAGTACACTATGCCAGTACACTATGCCAGTACACTATGCCAGTACACTATGCCAGTACACTATGCCAGTACACTATCCCAGAATACTATTCCAGTACATGACTATAATCAAGGCAAAGGTCACCGAGTAAATTTGAGATCAATCATATTTTAAGAGATTTAGGTCTTCTGTACAATCATACTTACCCTGCTGAATGAAGAAGGTTGTTAATAACCTCTATAAAATCATGGTGATTTTAACATTCGAAATATACAGGTTTACCCACAAAATAATGAAAAAATATGAGACTGCAAAGACGACCTAAAACTCTTTAAATTTAACAATCAAATTAAGCCGTCTGCCTCAAATATAATCTTTTTATGGCTTATTATAGGATTATTAAAAAAAAGAACAATTGTTTACAGTTGCAGTAAACAGACAGTAGACATGTTAAACAATTGTGTCTGAAGTCTCATCCTTTGTGGGTAACCCTGTAGAATGTCAATTGCTTGATTTAGAGTTTTAGCACACAAAACTTATTAATTCAAATCAAACAATTCAAGAAGCAGTTAAACCACTTCTTTTAAACTTACATATCCCTATTTTAAATATATTTAGATTTAGATTAGTGAAATGTCAAACTCGAACTTGTAACAGGATAAAAAAAATATTTTGCTTGCAATATCGAAATAATAATATTTTGTATGAAATTACAAACACTATAGATAATGAGTTTTTGTCACAAACTCAAATTTCTTAACCTTATATCTTTGCAACTTTGATATTTCAAACTTAGAATATCTGATTCTAACATAAATACTAGTTGGACGCTGGGTTGCAAAGATATAGGGATTAGACTATTTTTTTTTTCGTTGAATTCCTTTGTGAGATTTCTCTAATTTCGACCAAATTAGTATTAACTTCAAAATGGTGTCTGTAGTTTAATATTTTGAATAAAATCATTAGAAATTCTTCAATTAATTAGAAAATAAGAAAAAATTAAAATTCCATGTTTCCTGTGAGCTCCATTTTATATAATACTGTTTAATACTGAGTCATTGCTAACAGTAATTGTACCTGTTACATACGGGGAACTAGAGGGGGGAAGGTCACTTAATATTGCTTTTTTTTTAATTACAATATTATATTATCTAATTTAATTACAATATTATATTATTTATGAATATTTCAAAAAAAATTTAGTTTTAGCAATATTTCTTTCAGTTTTGAAAAAGATGAAGGTAAATAAACAAATTATTTAGCATAAGATGTATTTTTCTTTCTCTTTATCTTATTAACATCTTTCTCATATATCAGTTGGTTTTATAAAACTTAAAAATATCACAGCAAACCCCAGCAATGGAAATTGGGATGAAGAAAACTGAACGTAAGTACAGATAGTAGAGATTGCAAGTGTTGATTTAGTAATGATTCGCCATTTATACTCGTCATTTCTAAGTTCTCCAATTTCTGCGAGAGATAGTAGAGAGTAGAGATAGTAGAGATTGTAGAGATTGTAGAGATTGTAGAGATAGTAGAGATAGTAGAGACTGTAGAGATTGTAGAGATTGTAGAGATAGTAGAGATTGAAGTAATGATTCGCCATTTATGGAAATTGGGATGAAGAAAACTGAATGTAAGTACAGATTGTAGAAATTGCAAGTGTTGATTTAGTAATGATTCGCCATTTATACTCGTCATTTCTAAGTTCTCCAATTTCTGCCCTAAAAATATCTTTTATTAAGGTTCAAATTTTTAACTATAATCTATCATAGTGTATCTATAACGCTGTTATTTTGGTTCTCAGTGTTAGAAAGTTTTTGGACAGAAATTTGCTCTTTATCGAGAAGGTTCAAGCCTTTTTGATTTTGTCCAGAGCTATAGCGAGGGACAGAATATAATCTAAAAAGAAGAAAACCATCGAGATATAGAGAAAATTTAAGTCCAAAAACTTTGTAGAACGTCGTGCCAAAATAATAGTGGCATAGGTAAAGGAATGCAGTTTTTGCCACAAAATAAAATCTTCTGATCTCAATACCTTTGCAACCTGATAGTGCAAACCTTTGATATTTCAAACTTAGATTATTTTATCTATAAGTACTAATAGTTGAAATATCTAAGGTCTACGGCATTGGGTTACAAAGATATAGAAATTAGAAAATCAGAGTTTGTGGCAAAAACTCAACTCCTTTACGAAACGTTTCTTTACTTGTCTTATTTCAAGATCAAATAAGCTTTGAAACAAAGCAGAAGATATAAAGTTGATTTTAATTTAATTTTCATTTCAATTGAAAAAAAAATATTTTGGGAAAATCCTAAAGGAATTGAGTCTTTGCCACAAACTCTGATTTTCTAATCACTATAACTTTGGAACCAAATGTTGTAGACTTTAGATATTTCAAACTATGAATTCTGTTAGATCAAATAATCTGAATATGAAATAT